AGCATTTAGCTTCAAAAGCAGCTTTTAAGTTTACATAAATTTTGACTGAATATGATGGACACAGGGGTGTTCCTCCTTCTCCAAGGTCTGATCATGCTGCTGCGGTACATGCAGAGCGTTATCTCTTCATTTTCGGTGGGGGTTCACACGCTACTTGTTTTAATGATCTACATGTCCTTGATTTGCAAACTGTAAGATTACTTCTTTCAGTCTAAACAGCATCTTGTTTCCTATAAGAATATATCTTCTAATGTTAAGCGTTGGGGTTTTGCTAGATGGAATGGTCAAGACCCACACAGCAAGGTGATATACGTACTCCAAGGGCTGGACATGCAGGTGTAACTATTGGAGAGAATTGGTTTATAGTTGGTGGTGGTGACAATAAGAGCGGTAAGAATCTGCAACACTTTTGTTGATTACGAAACTTCTGGTACTGATGTTTCAAGTAAAATAGTGCAGCAGATTTCTTTTTTTCACGAGTAGAAAAAGAGAATAGGCCTGAGTGATGATTGCGTTTGAGATTAGGAATTGTCAATTCAAGATTAGGAAAATCTAGAAAGTGCACCGTGGACAATGTTTGGATGAAGAGAATTAGGTGACCAATCATAGCTTACAACAATTTCATTGAAGATGCACTTATGATTTTGGTCAGAGTCCATATGGATTGTTACATGGAGGCCTTTAGGTGACACAAGAACCATTCATTTTTGTGAAGCAAGATTGATGACAGACCCTGCATGAAGTAACTAAATTGCTGCAGAAAACAGTACATTAACAAACTTTCTAGTCTAAGGACATGAGTACTAATTCGTTTTACCAAATTTGTTGCATTAGAAATTGTATTTGCTTGTTTGAGAGCATTCCCAATGCTGGTATTATTTGCGTTTGTATGCTTCATTCTTGTCTGGAATTTTACCTCTTTCTCGAAACTTCTTGCAGGGGTATCAGAAACCGTTGTCCTGAACATGTCTACATTAGTTTGGTCTGTTGTGACCTCTGTCGAAGGGCGCATTCCAGTTGCTAGTGAGGTAAATTTCACTCTACCGACATTTTTTCCTTATCTGTGTGGTCATATGTTTGCTTACTGAAGACCACAAGTGTACTTTTTTCTTCTGGAATTCTTGGGATATACATACTTTTAAGTTTTTAGCACTTTCTTTAGGAAAAAAGAAAAAGTTTTTAACACTTCAGTTATGAAATCATTGTCTGAATCTTTGACGGCAGGGTTTGAGTTTGGTTGTAAGCTCCTATAATGGTGAAGATGTCAATGTATCTTTTGGAGGATATAATGGGCGTTACAACAATGAGGTTCATTATATTTTATGTGTTTTATGTGTTTGATGTGGATTTTCCTCTTTCATTCTAATGGGGTTAGTTTTTCAGATTAATGTTCTTAAACCAAGCCACAAATCGACACTACTGGCAAAGGCAATCGGAAGTCCTTTGCCTGATAGTGTTTCTGCTGTGCACAATGCGACGAATGCTACCAGAGACTTGGAGTCAGGTTGAAAGATGGAAGAAGAGAAGTTGTTGTGGACAATATTGGGAAAGATCCCGGGGTAATTGACGTTGGCCATCTCTTTTATGTGAAATTTCATCTTTATATTGCGTCTTTGTTAGTATTATATAAGCTAGCAGGAATAAATTGTACACCGAGCATGTTACACCATATGATACTAGTCTGTCTATTATTTTTACGTATGGGTGATGTCAATCCTATTTGATTCAAATGCTTGATAAGCTCTTATACATGTAGGAAATGCTTGTTATTTGAGGTGACTCACGACATTTGCTTTAAGGCATAAGAGGTTGACTGCATTCTGATGCATTCAGTTGTCCTATATGTGGGGATAAGGACACTAGGAGTGCCATAACTTTCGTACGGCGCTCACTTGAGTGCCATAATTTTTTGTTCGCTCACTTGAGTGCTACATCGGAGTGAAATAGATCATTTGAGTGCCACTTCTGGTGAAAATAGATCACTTGATTGCCATTTCAGGCAAATGAGCTGATGTGGATTTTTTAATTAATTTTTCCGCTGACGTGGATTTTTTTAATGTTATATTATATTATTTTATTGATTTTTTTTAAAATTTTTCTCTTTCTTTCTCTTTCTTATTTTTCTTTTTCTTTTTCAAGGTTAGCGAGGGTAGTGATGACCCTCGCCGGAGGCCTCGCCCTCGGCCAAACTGGGCGAGGGCCACCTCGCCATCGATCGGTATGGCCGCGAAGGCCCTTGGCGAGGCGGCCAAGGCTCTCGCAAGATCCGGCGAGGCTGCCTCGCTCGCTGCCGCGGACACCCTTGGCGAGGCCATCGCGGCCTAGCCGGCCGCGGGCGTGGCGGTGAAGGCTCTCGCCAGATTTGGCGAGGCTGCCATGCTTGCGGTCGCGAAAGCCCTTGGCGAGGCCTTTGTGGCCTCGCTGGCTGCGGGCGAGGTGGCGAAGGCTCTCACCAGATCTGGTAAGGCTGCCTCGCTCGTTGCGGTGAAGGCTCTCGCCAGATTTGGCGAGACCGCCTCGCCGCGGTCGGCGAGACAGCCTTCGCGGCCTCGCCTGCCGCCGGCAAGGCCGCAACGGCCTCGCCTAGGGACTTCGTGGCCAAGGGCAAGGCGGATGGTCGCCGATGATCCTCGCCGGCATTGAAAAAAAATTTGCAAAAATGACTATTTAATAATAAAAAAATGGGAAATTTTCATTTTGGTACCCTAAGTGGAAGCGTTTTCTCAATTTGGTATCCAAAGTGGACAGTGTCAAATAAGGACATGAAGTGCCTAATCGATCTTAAAGAAGGGCCCGAAGTGCCCAAAAAGACTCAAATAAGAGCCTGGGTTGCCGGGCGGCCAAAATGCCCGTCGGTCGGCAAAAAAGTTACTGTTCCGGCACCGGGACAATAACTTTTTTATTATTTTTATTATTTTTTCTTTTCTTTTTTTTTTCTTTTCCTTTTCTTTTTCCTTCTCTTCCTCTGCCAGCCCTAGCCGGGGCCGGCGGAGGCTGTCGGCCTCAGGCGGAGCTGCCCTCGCCGGCGTCAAGTGAGGGCCGCCCTCGCTTGGGCTGGGCGAGGTCAGCCTCGCCAGCGGCCGGTGGGGCCGAGCCCTCACCAAATCTGGCGAGGCCGACCTCACCCAGCCTAGGCGAGGGTGGCCCTCGCCGGATGCCGGCGATCTCTGCCGGCATCGGTTATGGCCGGCGGCGGAGAGAAGAAAAAAAAAGAAAAGGAAAGGGAAAAGAAAAAAAAGAAAAAGAAAAAAGAAAGAAAAAAAAATAAAAAAGTTACTGTTCAAGTGCTGAAACATTAAGTAATGTATTCTGCCTTTTGTATTTCTTCATATTACTGATTTATATCCTGGACAGAAATCAAGAAATGAGGGAACTGCAGAGCATCTTTTGGCAACCCTCAAGGCAGAGAAAGAAGAAGTAGAATCTTCACTCAGCAAGGAGAAGTTGTTGTCTCTTCAATTAAAGCAAGAAATCTCAGAAGCCTAGGCTCGCAACACCGATCTGTACAAGGTATGGCTTGTTTTTGTATGTCTTGACTGTAATCTTTATTGGACAACTTTGTAACAAATAATCCCTTTGTTGGAGCACTCTGTTTAATTTATAATAAAGAAAGAACGTAGTTTCCGTGAAACGTTAGCATTGTAGGAATTTGTTTTCTAGTCTCAGGGCTAAAAGTGGACAATCCTTTGTCCATCGTGTATAGTTAGACTAAGCCATTGAACAAAGGCTGTTTATTAGTGCTTTTTAAAATATAGTTCGTATTAGTGGAATGTCTTGTATGGATAGCATAACAAGGAAATTCTTCACTTAAATGGACTCAAAGTCTCGAAATGATCACGGCAGAGATATCACAGGCTCTGTTTACCAACTGGAACATCTACAAGAGTCCTCGGGTTTGATGTTTAATAATCTTCTCTGCCTTGAAAATTGAAGGGCTACAAGGCTTAACATATTTAACTGCACATGCAGGAGCTTCAGTCTGTGCGGGGTCAGCTTGCCGCAGAGCAGTCAAGGTGTTTCAAACTTGAGGTACTTGCTGGTTCTTAGAAACTCCACTTCCCTTGTTCTGCACTTGGATTAGTTCTTCTTGTCTCTAGAAGTAACAGCAAAGTTCTGAGAAGTGATTTGATGCCTCTACTGTACATTTTTTATGATCTCTGAATGCGGTCGCACCTTGCCTTGTTCATCGCAATGGTTCCCAAGAAATCCCCAACTTGTGTTAATCATGCTCCACTATAAATATATATCGACCCAAATGCAGAACAGGCATTGCAGTATGGGCGTGGAATAGGATTTGGTTTAGGCCTTTAACCAGGGGAGATCTTTATATAATCAATCACCTTGCAGGCTAAACTCCACATTGACACTGACACAGGCACTTAACCGGATCAGAGTCATGGACTACTGCGTGTGAAGTAGGCTTTTGATTAGCAATCGAAATTCATAAGGCTACTCTCTTTTTCACTTACGTAATGCTCGATATGTTCTGGCAGGTCGATGTGGCAGAACTAAGGCAGAAGCTGCAAATGATGGAGACGTTGCAAAAGGAGCTTGAACTCCTCCAGCGACAAAAGGCTGCTTCCGAACAAGCTGTGCTAATGGCAAAGCAGAGGCAGAACTCCAGCGGAATGTGGACTTGGATCACCGGAACACCTCCAAGCCCAAAAGTTGACGATGCCTGAAATTTTCGGAGTCCTCCACAACGTCGACAGCTTTTACCAAAGATTTTTTCCTTTTTTGCCCATTTAACCCTGTTCTTTGTAACCCACCCATGGGTAGCTCAGTTGGTTAGGGCGTACTTGGGATTGTGTGGCTAGGCGCACTGGTCCCAAGTTCGATTCCCCAGCTGAGCACTTGTGATTTAAGTGGGGGGCTATGGCGGTGGGTTGCTGTGCTAGTCTCTCCCGAGGAATAGTCGAGGTGCGCGCAAGCTGGCCCGGACACCTCGGTTACCAAAAAAAAAAAAAAACCCTGTTCTTTGTATGAAGAGAATAAAAAAGGTGATGCCTAAGATTTTTGCATGAATTTGTTGTAGATTTAGTTCTTTGGCTTGAGTCAGGGCTATGTAATGTGAACAGAGAGAGAGAGAGAGAAAGTATAGGTTGTCAACATGTCATTGCCTCATCAGCTATTGAGTATATTAAGTGAGAAATACTAAAGCTATCGGGCATCTACAGTGTCAATTACTTTTCTTTTTTTGGACATTCATCTTTGTGACTTTCCTATAATATAAATTTAAACTGGCATTTTTCCTTCGCATTGGATTTGGTGTTGTTTAATTGTGATTGATCTTTCTCGTATCGACCATATGTTTATTGCTGAATGCTGATCAAGTCTCCCTCCGGGAAAGGATCAAATTGCCTTACGAGTTCTAACTCATTGTAGATGCGCATGGTGCCAGTACGTTGTTCATCATATTCTTTATCGAGACGAAAGCAAAATGTTTGCACTACAGACCCATGCATATCGATCACGCAGCCTAATCACTACGGCCCGAGATTGATATTTGAGATCAAAGTGAAGCGTCACATCCGAAAGAAGCTCGTGTTGTTCATCTTATTCTTTATTGAGAGGAAAGCAAAATGTTTGCACTACAGACCCATGCATATCGATCACGCAGCCTAATCACTACGGCCCGAGATTGATATTTGAGATCAAAGTGAAGCGTCACATCCGAAAGAAGCTCGTGGGGCGGGTTCCATATCCACATCAAGGAGCTTCTCAAAGAATGCAGCCACATCGACAAGAAATCGGAAAAGCTGGCCATCCGGTCTAACATCGAAACGATCTGCCTTAAAGCAAAAGAAAGCGAGAAGAGAGAAGGGTGTTATCAACAAGAGTTGGCGAGTCATCGAGGTAATTAGCATAAACAAGGATGCAATTGGTGTAGAATTATACAACGCAAAGGAGTGAATAATACCTGATGAACAAAGTTTGACTTCTCTTTCCATGTAATACGTCGATTAAGAACCTCGTGTATTATTGATTTTTCCGAAGAAATCAGACTATCGTCTGATACAAAGTATGAGTCATCTCTGCCCTAATTACCATTTCAAGTAAGGAAAAAGATTTAGCAATTGGTTGTGCAAGAAAGGTACGGTAAAAAGGAGAACATGTGAACCATCGAATTGACTGGAGAACATGTCAGAGCCAGCAATTGAAATGGCGGTGCGGCATCAATCATCATTTGGAGTTTTGGAATGAAGGAGCTTCCTATGTCCAGCTAAAGTTCCCAAGAAGTGACTAATCTTCAAGGGGACTCGAGGTAAAGTTGGCACGGATTATCAGGGCAACTCTAATCTAATAAACTATATCAAGCACGTGCTAAAAATTGGAATAGGTTCGCTGAAAGTCTTAAAATTTGTCACAAAAGTGCAATCGAATTCTAAACTCTCAAAAAGTGCAATCAAATAAAGGACTTAATTGGACTAATTTGACAAGTTTTAGGATTCGATTGTATTTTCCTGATAAGTTTTATGACTTGATTGCACTTTTTGAGAATTTTAGGAATCAGTTGCACTTTCGTGATAAGTTTTAGGACTTCCAGTACACTTATTTCTTAAAAATTAGCAAACTCGTTCAATTATAATTTTTTCATGTGATTTCTGCGTAGCGATCGATTATGTCTGCTGTGTTATCTGTACAATAAGTCGAAGCTAGAAACCACTTAATAAAGCCTTAAGCTTAGATGCGATGCCGATAGAAGTAAAGTGAAGAAAACAAACTCAACTTTGAATCTAAAGAGTAGACACATTGATAATGACAAGATTCAACAACTATCTACAATTACAATCAAAGCACCCGTCAAACCAAAGTTTGTAATCTCGTATAAGTGTCGTTCTCTAGCAATTGACTTTTTCGAGCGATCATTCCAAATTCAAATCTTAGAATATCACTTACAATTTTGGCTTAAAGAAAGGAATTTGACCCCATTCAATGCAATCACAAATTTTTTTTTCTCTAATCTCGAAAATAAACTTTTTTTCTTTACCTATTTTGCTTTTAGGTGATAATTTAGAAATTGGGGTCATGTTATTTGCTGTTTTAAAATTCATTTAGTTAGATTTTAGATGTTATCTTATCATTTAGTAGATGTTACTTACTTTTTATTAGTCGTCCGATTAAGAAACGGGCTAATCCCTTAAAAGAACCCAACTTTTAGGTCAAATTCCAATTATGCCCCAAACTCTCTTTTTTTTGTCTCAAAATAAATCTCGAACTTTCACTCTAGTCCCAAAGCTCCCCGCACGTCCAAAAGTCGACACTGGTTTCTTCAAAATCATCGACGTCAAGAGATTGTTGTTATCCCTTACGAAAGTGAGGGTGTCGATGAAGACTTATGTTTCGATAATGAACCTCTAACTTGCCCTGATATTGATAATTTTCAAGGAACTAATAGCGATCTTTGTAAACATGGGTAGATTTAAGATTAGCTCGAGACAAAATTGAGATCAGACCTAAAGCTGATGATTTTTTAGGGGAATTAGGCCATTAAGAAATCGATCGTGGATAACGCGTTTCAAAAATTTGGGATAAGTCCACTAATTTATCTCTATTCAATTTAAAAAACTGATTTTTAATTTTTTTAAACTGGAGTTGAAATTCACTTGAGATCAAGCACCGATAATTAAAGGAAAAAAGAAAAAGGAATTATCGACCTTTCCGGGAATTTCCAGAAGAGTGCCAAAGTATAAAAAGAAGAAGAAGAAGAAGAAGGTGACGTCATAAATGCACGTCACGATCGCTTTTATTCTTATGCGATAAGGAAAAGCAACGCGGAATGTAGGGGTGTCAACGGGTCGGGTTGGGTCGGGTTTTCATGATACCCGACCCGACCCGACCCGAAACAATGCATATGTTTGCTTGGCCCGACCCGAAACAAGACCTGAACATGATATAGCTGTGCGATCGGGTTGGGTCGTGTTCGGGTCGGGTTCGGGTCGGGTTCGTGTTTTAGATTTTTGCTTGACCACCTACATCTTCTCTTAAGAAGGACACCCTAAAAACAGAACTTGGGTTGTCTTGTTTGCCTGTTCAAACAAAGAAGTACAGAAGTAGATGATGACAAGATCATGCACTCTCGCATCTACCCATGCCCAATAGAGAAAAAATGACAAACCAGTGATCTCAAGGGAAAATGTCTCTAATGTCCAGTCAAATAACTATTCAAACATTTCATTTGAATTCAATTGGATGTTTCAACATTGTCCTAAGATTTGAAATCAGAAAAGAATTAGTCAGACGACAGAAACTGCTACAGCAGTTAGGATTAGTCTGATCGGTATAATTTGTGAAGCATTCTGTATAGATCAGCTCAAGTAAATGAACAACTTCACAATGATTTGAGAATCCCATTCCATTCAAACTGAACAGTGAGCAACTGGGTTTCGGAATCCGGCTGCAAGTGCAATGACGAGAGAAATTAGTAGTCCACATCTACTAATTTGTATGGGTTTCGGGTTTCGGAGTCCGCCAGTTGCCTTCGTGTCGCAGTCCGCCAGTTGCCTTCGTGTCGCACTACTCGATCGCTAGTTGCCGATCCGGAGCTTTGGAAGAAGATGATAGGGTTTCCGGCGCGCTTGGAACAAGAAGGACAAATGGCTCTTGTTTGTTTCGGGCGGGCTTGTTTCGGGCGGGCTCGGATAGATTCAAAACAAGTTTAAGCCTTATTTTTACTGTTACCCAAATAAGTTAAGGCCAATCTGACCCAATATGAAAATTTCCTGTTTGGATCGGGTCGGTTTGGGTCGGGTCATGTTTGAGCGGGAACTTTTGACACCCCTAGCGGAATGTACGCGCATCCAACCCGGACCCCCCGCACTTTCTCACTTCATCTTTTCATTTCCATCGCTCCTTTTTCTTTTCTTCTTTTCGTTTTCTTTTCTAACTTTTGCGTCAAAATCAATTTAATCAGCGACAAAAAAAAGGGATATCCTGTTCAAGGAAATTACAAGATCTCGACACTTTCGATATCCGCACCCAACATTTCAAAACGAAGTCAAAAGCATCGAACGATCCTCCTCGTGCGTTTCGAGAAAAACTCGGGGCCGACCCACATGCCGAAACCATGTAAAATTTTTCCGGGATCACTGCCGACCGTCCCGAAAGTTTCAGCCTCCGGATCGATACACAGTTTTAAATATTTAAATATTCTAACATTCGAGAGTTTTTCTCAAGATGAAAGAAAATGGGAAGCGGGCGAAAATTCCAGCAAATCTTTTTTTTTTTTTTGTAATCTCTTCTCGTGAAATTGGCAGGCAGAAAATAGGGAAGCTTCGTCTTGTACGCGTAGAGATTGATCAGTTAAAGTACACGACGCGTATACGGCCCCCCTAAAAAAGGGGAAACTACAACAACGCATCAAGAAGATCTAAACAAGGAATGAAATATACGAAAGAATCCCCGAGATTCGCCCCCACCCTGTCCGACGTCGTTTCTTCAAAACCTCGAATATAAAAACGCCCTCGAAAGAAAATCTCTCTGTAAAATCGTCGGTTTCGTCGTCTTCATCATCTTCATCTTCATCTCCTCCGTCGTGGGCGGTGGTGGTTGTTGTTGATCTTTCAAAAGGTTTCGAGCAGCAGACATGGAGTGCAGGGCCCCCTGGAGAAGGTGACGGCGAGATCTCGGCCAAGGACCTCAAGGACGCACTCTCCATCACCTGTGACTAGGCCGTGATCTTAAAAAAGAGTTACGTTTTTTGGTCCAAGACATTTAAAGACTTCAAAATTTTCTTATTCTCCATTGGGAGTGGATATTGCTATTTACCCACCAGTGAATGACCAGCACATGGAGCTAAAGGTCTGGAAGGTTGTGACTCTGCTGAATCAACCTCGAACCCCGCCTCTACTCATGACCAAGCCCAGTTCCTCAAATCCAGAACCTGCATTCATTGCGTTATAGGAAACAAGATGTAAGGGAAGCTGTGGCTGTACACATCCAGGGTATTACACTCACGTCAGCTGGTTAGCTTGATAAGATAAAAGGAATCGGTAATACTGAAAGATTCTGGATGTACACTGTGAGAAAGCTTGAATGGGCAAAGCATGTATTGTTAGTAATCAACAGATACCGCTAGTCCCATCCTTTGACTATTAAGATCACCAGTAAACGTTTTAGCAAAAATTAGATTACCAGTAAATGAATAGAAAAAATCTATTTTCGAGTGCACATTATTTGCTTACATGAAGATCATTTAGGTATCGTCCATTGTGGTTTCCACCATATACGTACATCTTGTCTTGAATGATTGCTGCTCCATGCTGCAGATTGCATGACCATCAGGTTCAGTATAATTTATTTGTCCAAAAGAGATCACCATGTTTCACAGAGAGATGTTAACACCTCATAGCGTGCTCTTGGACGTTGACCAGATGTCGGAGGTACAATCCATTGATCGTAGACAGCAACTGATCCTAGACCATCAGAAGCAGCGTCTTTGTCCTGAGTTTCACTCAGGATTCCATTTTCAGTGGATGCAATTTTTGGCTCAGTAGTACAGACACCATTCTCAACCACCGGGTCCACTTTTTCAGTATGCTGTAAGGGATACACAACAAAACAAATCACGGGCCAATGCAGAGTCATTGGTTTGAAAGCAACAAATTAAAAAAGCTAGCCATGTCCATATGCCAATACAGGGATCTGATCCTGCTATCTCGAGTGGAGATTGTAAATTTGATTGCTGATAGGATCAGGGCATATGAGGTGGGCAACTGATGTAGAGTTTAATGTTGGCAATGACGTAAAAAAGAGACAATTGTGATGTAAGTGGCGGAGCAAGTGGTGATGCTGAAGCGTCAAATATATGCCTCAGATACTCTGCTGAAAGTTGTAAAATAGAAGGCATAGTGGGGGCAATACCATGGCCTTTCTAGTGCAACATCACTGATCTAGCCGCATAGACACCCAAATGCCAAACTATCTGGCTGTCTAAATCCCACATTAATGATACTTCAGTTAAAAGATGGTAGAAATATAAGCTATATGGGATACCGTATATTCTGAGTTCTACATCACTAATAACTGTCTCCATGCTCGAAAAACCAGCCTATTCTTTCTGTTTAAAGAAAAAAATCCTTCAATTTTGCTCGTCCACATTGTGCAACATGTACGTGAGAAGCTTATGGATCATGGAAGATTCATATGTCGGGATATAATAATGCGAAATTCAGAAAAGAAGGGTATACTGACATTCATTTCCACATTAACAACAGGTTCCAAAACAGGTTCAGAAACATAATTAGATGCTCTCGAGTACCAACCGGGATCTTCCTCCTACAATAACAGCAAATCAACAAACATTGGCTGTCAAGTCTTAAAAACACCTTACACGTTCAACATTAAAGACAACTATTACTTACTAACCTCCAATATTTTCACAAATAGTTGCATTGCCTCTGTAGACGCCATGTTTCCTAGGCCATTCCAACTGCATAAACATATTGCACTCATCAGAAACCATAGTTTAACTGATAATAAGTCGACACTCTGCAATCACTTATACACTAGAGCTATCAATTATCACAAGTAGTCCTTGTCCTTATCCTTCTCCACAAAATTGAAAGTGAAATTCTGTTCTAAACATATAGAACAAACATCTGGTCTGAACAACATGATATCATATATGAAATCTTATAATACGTGGGATAATATAAGAAAAGCATTTGAAGTTGTTTCCTTAATGATACACAGGAAAAGAGAAAAAACATGAATGCACATAAATATGGATCCAAATCAATTGCTTTCAGTTACAGCTCTAACGCTTTCAAGTTTGAGAAGCTTTCCAGCACATATGCATTGCAAACCAAAGCAAAAAAGTAAATAGAACTTTCTGGTACTATCCTGTACTACATGCACACTATTCAACTCAACCACAAATATAACTCTCAAAACATTAACTTGACCACTGCTTGATTCAACTCATGAAATTGAGAGGAATCGGTATCTCATATAATGAGGGCGATGGCAATAATAAGTCCAATCAAGTTAAAGTCGTGAATCTGGAAAAAAAACAAAGGTGAATAAGATGAGTTGGCATTAATACACGTTACAGCTCTTGCCTTACAGAAATAAATCATATGGAACGAGAGGAGTGGTCATGCTTGTATATGTGTCTAAGAGAGATAGACGGGCTGGGGTTGCAGCATAATACAAACCTAGTCCGTTTACTTTGCTCGACAGGGCTCCATCCTCTGGGTTTTGGTACCGTATAAGGTCCAATAGTTGCCTGTAACAGATGCATAATCAACAAAGTGTGACCTTGACAAGTTAGTTCTGGGCAAAGTATTATCAGGATGTACTGGCAGAAAAAAAAAAAGATGTAGAATATACAAGGGAGCACAAATTTGTGGTAAATGAAACAAATTCTAATTGGACAAATACATTATAGAGACTGTCACAGTTTCCTGCTCTGCTCACCCGAGGTACCAGAGGCTTAACAACAACTACAAGGCACTTCCTCCTTCAGAAATTCCAAACTTGTATAGATGAAGGAAATATAAAGGAAATATAAAGGCCAATTATTTCCAATTTAATCCTTACTGCTTTTACCTTGTTTTCAGGACAGATGGATCTCGACGAAATATGCCTCACGACTGGCCCACCTGGCCCACCTGGCCCACCTGGCTACAGTTCATTTCCCAGTGAGGCCGTTACACCATTACAACAGATGCATCAAAAGGCATTCGAATTAGCGTAAGCTTAGAAGTTCCAACCAAATGATCCAGAACACGTCACCACATACAAAACAGATTCGTCGAATGAACTGCTGCATTAGTTGGTTAACAATCAGCTAAGCAGACTTGCGGAGATCAACTTGAACACCGAATCATGCAAGAATCAAATCATCACAAATCGGAACATCTAGTCTCACAAACAACAACGACATCCCGCACCAACTGGCGAAGCCGCGGCACGATCTCAATTCAAACGAAAAATCTCACGATTCAAACGAAAACTCTGTTTACATACCCCAACCATCACCATTAGTGAGGCCGTGACACCATTACAAAAGATATCCACAGAATAAAGGGGAAAAGGCAGGAGGTAGGAACACAGCAAAGACCAAGAAAGAAACTCTGTTTACATATCCAAACCATCACCGAAGAAGTCCGATATCGCGTTACCCATCACCATCCCGCTGAGCAAACCCCCGCCAGCCCGGCCTGCCCCCGGCGGCTGCTGGTTTGCCGGCGGTTGGTACGGCGCCCCCTCGCGCACGGTGAACGACTCGCCGAACCTGTACGAGAACTCCAGGACGCCCCTGGTCCCCCCAGACTTCAGCCTCACGGCGTAGCTCATCGCCCTGGACTCCCCGTCGCCGCCTTGCTCGAGCAGCTCCTCGACGGGCACGTCGACCCAGCCGACGTCCTTGTCGCTTTTGAGGGTCCGCTCGGTCTTGATCTCGAGCTTGAGGGTGAGGAGGCCGGCGCGGGCCGCGGCCACGTCGACGGTGAAGGGGGGGAAGGCGTGGTCCCAGCGGGGGCTCGTGCCGCCGTCCCTGTGGGCGGGGGTGCGCTGCTCATTGTTGTGGCCCTCGTCGCCGGAGAGGGAGGCGACGACGTAGGGGTGCATCGTGAGGTAGCGTCTGACTGTCATGAGGCCACTGGCCGAGGTCATCGTCACATACAGGCGCCTGCACTCCATGTCGTCCACGGCCGCCGCGAAGAGCCTTCACCTTCGAAAGATCAGACAACAGCAACAACCGCCCACGACGGAGAAGATGAAGAAGATGAATGGCGCAGAACCCTCCACGGCGGTCGAGGGCGCATGTACATACGAGGTTCGATGAAACGACGTCGGAGAGGGAATTTTTTTTTGGTCAGATGGAGAGGGAATTGAATGCGGGTCGAGGGCGTATACGCTCAATGAAAGCATCGTATACTCTAACCGATCAATCCATACGCGTAGAAGGACGAAGACTTCCTATTTCTTGCGAACTTCACGAGAAGAAAAAAGACATTTATTTGCTAGAATTTTTCGCCGATTCGGTGAAAAACTCCCCGCGATATAATTTCTCTCGTCATTCTTTTACTTCCTTCGGGAAAATCCCAGATACGAGGAATGGAATATTTAAATATTAAATTTTGCATGTCAATCTGAGAATTGAAATTTTCGGGACGTAGGGCTCCATCTGGCGTTTTAGAGCATACTGTGGAGAACATAACCAAATGGACATATCTTGTTCTGACTCTATATATTTCATAGAGGCCTTCCCTTAATATACCTAGTTTCATTTTCCTTCCACAAATCGGATTGATCCATACTCCAGGGTAAACTGGATATTGCCTTCTGCCCTGCATGATTTTCTGTTAATGACCATTGGGATGATCAGTGCATGGTGACGTTTACTTTCTGATGTAATGTTGCAGTTAGCTTGTTTAAGTTCTTACTCTCTTTTTTTAATAAAATTACCTACTCTCTGGTTGACAGTGAGAGCATTTGATCTACAAACTAATACTTGGTCAATCTCGAAGACTTATGGGAAACCACCGATATGAATATCCTCTTTTCATCGCTCTCTCATCTCATGCGCAAAAGCATTATGCAACAAGTTATCTTTTTTGCTTTTTCCTCTAGTGTCGAGTGACAATTTGAAGGTTACTTCTATGTGTATTTTGTTATGTTTCATGCCTTTTTGTTCCTATTGCTGGCGTGGTCTCACATCTGAAGCAATCATTTTCAGGTGTCCCGGGGAGATCAATCAGTAACTCTGGTTGGCACTAGCTTAGTGATATTTGGTGGGCAAGATGCAAAAAGATCTCTGTTGAATGATCTTCATATACTTGACCTTGAAACAATGACTTGGGATGAATTTGATGCTGCGTAAGTTGATTTTTTTTGTTTAGCTGATATAATGAGAAACCTTACTCTTGTGTGTGTGTGGGAGCAATGAGATTTTATCTTTCATACCTCGACAGACATTTGAATTAATTTTTCTGCTACTCCTACTGGGCCTCTTTGCATATGTTGCTTATATTCTGAAAGATGGATACAGCGATTCTCTTCATGAAACAGCTTTGCATACTATTAGAATAATTAAATATTAAACCACGCTTTCATCTAACAGCTTAAGCTTTTAGAACAGTTGGCAGTGGTCCTACTAAATCTCACATGGTATCAGAGCAGGAGAGCAGGAGGTCCTGAGTTTAAATATTTTCAGGCCCCATTTGCCTTCCCAATTAAATATGTCCACGCTTAGCGTTAGGCAAAAAAACCAGACTACGCGTGAGGGGAAATGTTAGAATAATTAAATATTAAATCACGCTTTCATCTAACAGTTTAAGCTTTTAAAACAGTTGGCAGTGGTCCCACCAAATCTCACACATACAATTATACAAACTTACTTGCAAACAGTTCTTATTTCCTGACTAGATTAGTGTAGTCATATTGTTTATGGAAATATCGAAACTTCCTGATATTCGTGTAGCATTTAGCTTCAAAAGCAGCTTTTAAGCTTACATAAATTTTGACTGAATATGATGGACACAAGGGTGTTCCTCCTTCTCCAAGGTCTGATCATGCCGCTGCGGTACATGCAGAGCGTTATCTCCTCATTTTCGGTGGGGGTTCACACGCTACTTGTTTTAATGATCTACATGTCCTTGATTTGCAAACTGTAAGATTACTTCTTTCAGTCTAAACAGCATATAAGAATATATCTTCTAATGTTAAGCGTTGGGGTTTTACTAGATGGAATGGTCAAGACCCACACAGCTAGGTGATATGCCTACTCCAAGGGCTGGACATGCAGGTGTAACTATTGGAGAGAATTGGTTTATAGTTGGTGGTGGTGACAATAAGAGCTGTAAGAATCTGCAACACTTTTGTTGATTACAAAACTTCTGGTACTGATGTTTCAAGTAAAATAGTGCAGCAGATTTCCTTTTTTCACGAGTTGAAGAAAAAGAGAATAGGCCTGACTGATGATTGCGTTTGAGATTAGGAATTGTCAGTTCAATATTAGGAAAATCTAGAAAGTGCTCTTCCACGGTGGACAATGTTTGGATGAAGAGAATAAGGTGACCAATCATATCGTACAACAATTTCATTGAAGATGCACTTGTGCTTTAGGTCAGAGTGCATATGGATTGTTACATGGAGGCCTTCAGGTGACACAAGAACCATTCATTTTTGTGAAGCAAGATTGATGACAGATCCTGCATGAAGTAACTAATTTGCCGCAGAAAACAGTACATTCACAAACTTTCTAGTCTAAGGACATGAGTACTAATTCGTTTTACCAAATTTGTTGCATTATAAATTATATTTGCTTGCTTGAGAGCATTCCCAATGCTGGTATTATTTGCGTTTGTATGCTTCATTCTTGTCTGGAATTTTACCTCTTTCTTTAAACTTCTTGCAGGGGTATCAGAAACCGTTGTCCTGAACATGTCTACATTAGTTTGGTCTGTTGTGACAACTGTCGAAGGGCGAATTCCAGTTGCTAGTGAGGTACATTTCACTCTAACGACATTTTTTCCTCATCTGTGTGGTCATATTTTTGCTTACTGAAGACCACAAGTGTACTTTTTCCTTCTGGAATTCTTGGGACATACATACTTTTAAGTTTTTAGCACTTTCTTTAGGAAAAAAAAGAAAGTTTTAGCACTTCAATCATGAAATCATTGTCTGACTCTTTGATGGCAGGGTTTGAGTTTGGTTGTAAGCTCCTATAATGGTGAAGATGTCATCGTATCTTTTGGAGGATATAATGGGCGTTACAACAATGAGGTTCGTTATATTTTATGGGTTTTGTGTTTGATGTGGATTTTCCTCTTTCATTCTAATGCAATTAGTTTTTCAGATTAATGTTCTTAAACCAAGCCACAAATCGACACTACCAGCAAAAGCAATCGAAAGTCCTTTGCCTGATAGTGTTTCTGCTGTGCACGATGCGACAAATGCTACCAGAGACTTGGAGTCAGAGGTTGAAGCGGTCCAAGATGGAAAAAGCGAAGTTGTTGTGGACAATATAGAGAAAGATCCCAGGGTAATTGACGCTGGCTATCTCTTTTATGTGAAATTTCATCTTTTTATCGCGTCTTTGTTAGTATTTGTTAAAGCCTCTTTATGTTCATTGTTAATGTTATTGGGCCTAATTAGTTGGGCCTAGTTTATTTATCTAGTTGTCTTACGGTTGAGGTCCATCTCTTCCCTATATATATTGTATCTCTTTCTCTTTTTAAAGTAGAAAAAATTATTCTTTCTCTCAACATGGTATCAGAGCGTGAAACCGTAACCTAGCGCCCCTTCCTTTGAAACCTGCTGCCATCTTCTTCTTCCCAGCAACCTACGTCCCTACCTTCCTCCTCTTCGCTCTCAACCTATAGCCTCTCCATCTCCAGCAACCTCCGGTACCTGTCGGCTGCTACTCTTACGCCTCATTGTTGCTTGTGCGGCCCTTCTTCCTCCCATTGTTGTCGGCGGCCTTCATGCATCGTGCAAGATAGCCTAGACCTCTCCATGCCCTCTCTAGTGCTTTCCGAGAGCCTCCCTGCTACCGACCAGCCTTGATATTTTCTGGATCATTCCTTATATGATCTAAATCCTATTTTTTTTTATACAACCTATCATCCGAGACCATGTCAGAGACAGAAAAAGCTTCAGACTCTCTTGGAGAATTGAGTCGTAGTGCTCCTGGTGTTTATCCCTCTTTTTCGACAAATCCCATCAAGTTAGATGGCTCCAACTATCTGACTTGGTCTCGCTCTTGCTACCTTACCATTGTTTCACTTGGTCTTACAAACTACCTTACCGGAGAGAGCGTGCAACCTACCACCGGAGATGATGCTATCCACAAGTGGATCTCCGAGAATGCCTTGATTATGGCTTACCTTGTCAATTCAATGACTAACTCTATCGCCCGTGGCTACTTATTTTTGGACACAGCAGCCAAGATTTGGGAGGCTGCTAAGGACACTTATTCTCAAGTGGGCAATGATGCCCAAATCTATGAACGCCAGCAAAAAATTCATGAAACCAAGCAAAGGGAGTTGTCCTTATCTCAATATTATTCTGAGTTACATTGTCTATGGCATGAACTGGATTTTTATGATGATTTTCATCCTACCAACCCTCTTGATGCTGCTGCCTTTCGGAAAAGGGTGGACAAATTTCTTGTTTTTGAGTTCCTAGCGGGTCTTAATATGGAGTACGATCAGATTAGGGCCCAGATCTTGTGTCGTGTGCCTTTCCCGACCTTGGAACAATCCTATGTTGTGATCCATCTAGAGGAGAAGCGTCGGAGCGCGATGCATCAACCCATTGTCCCAGAGCGGTCTGCCCTTTATACTATTGCTGGAAGCGAATCTCGCAGTTGTTCTGGCAATGACAAACAGATTGTGAAGTGTGATTATTGTGGAAAAGAACGTCACACTCGTGAAACTTGTTAAAAACTTCATGGACGCCCTTCCAATGCTGGCCGTGGCCTCGGACGAGGTTGTACAGGGCTTCAAGTGCACTTAAGTGAGGCCCTAGGTCAGCAAACAGCTGCTCCATCAGACTCTTTATCTGCTGCTGAGTTGACTAGTCTGTGCCTCCTCTTAGCACGCAACGTAGACAACCCTGGCACCTCCACATCATTGGCCTCGGACACTTTGACCTCTAATTTTGCACAGTCAGGTAGTTTTTTCGGTGGTTTATGTAAATCTTCTCGGCCGTGGATCCTTGATTCGGGTGCCACACATCATATGACCCGAGATATTACGTTTTTTGCGGATTATTCTCATCCTCCTAAACCTGATTGTGTTACTGTTGCTGATGGTTCTTTAGCCCCTATCGTTGGCCAGGGGCTCGGTGTCTATTACCCGTGATATTACTCTATCATCTGTTTTACATGTTCCTACGGTTTACACTAATCTCCTATCAATTGGTTCCTTGACTCGTGATATGAAGTGCCAAGTGGTTTTTTTCCCATCTTATTGTATTGTTTAGGACTTAGCAATGGGTCGGGATATTAGTCGCGGTAGAGTAGAGGGGGGCTTATATGTGTTCGATTCACCACCATCAGCTCATCTTGTCACTCCAACTTCCTCGGCTACCCTATCTGAGCTCCATGTTTGGCATCGCCGTTTGGGACATCCACCGCTTGGAACTTTAATAAAGATTTTTCCAGATTTTTCCAGATTTAGTTGACAAATGTAGTAGTCAAAATTTCCTTTGTGATTCTTGTGTTTTAGCAAAACAAACTCATGTCACTTATTCTTCTATTAATAATAAAAGTGA